TTTACCAACTCATTAAAACCCCATTCTCACGGTTAGCGTATGACAAAAAACCACGGCTTGCTGTATCCGAGACCACTACCAAGGAAACTCCTGCCAAAATTCCAATGAAAACCGCATGTAATACGTCCCCCCTCCCTGTTCAGTGTTGATAAACAGATGCACATGAATACTTGGCAACCTGTTCATTGCCGAGAAACGTGTAAACACGCTGAAATTCAAAAAAGGTGCGATATTTGTTATGCACGTTCGCAAAATCTGCAGCAGCTATAAACAGTGTTGTTACGTCTTTAGACTTTTTCTATAACACAAGATTGCAAAAATTTGGCGTCTGACATGCAAACGTCAATTCCTGACCAATAGCTGTTGATTTATGGAAGGCTAGAATATTGTGCGCCACCTAAATCTGAAATAAGAGGTATATTTTCGGAATTAATAAACCTAAGTCCGATTGTCTGCTTTCTTAAGACAACTTGGTACGACAGCAATTGAATAACATTTTCAACAATGGAGGCGGAAACGCAGATTCATGCATATTACTAGTCAAAAGTACACAGCGTCTTAAATGACCGAATGTTTTACCGAGAAATCACACAAATGATCCTCTGGCCACTGTCCGTTCACCCTATAAAAATGCAGACAATTAACCCCGAAGCACTATTCACTGAAACGATACTGCCTGCCGGTTAAGGCCGACAAAAAGGGACTCTGAACTTGGGTATTTGCATAAAGTAACTTACTGCTGCTGCTTTACCGATTAAATATTAGTTAATTCTAGGCAATAGAACCATTGTTCCACACGTTTAACTTAGCAATTTGGTTTCGAATTTTCGTCTGCAGCACCATCGGAACGCCCTCGGTCTCCACCGTCAATCTTAGTTCAAAGGAGCGTCATGGACGGAACAAATTAGGGCTGTATCATTTAGCGTGGAAAGTGCGCAAAATGCCTCGAAGTGGAAGTCATAAATGGGGAAAACTTTCAAGCAGACTGATATAAGTTAACGCGAAGGATAAACGCATGTAATTAACATTATAACGGTTGCCCGTTCAAGATAAGCTAAAATCCCACGAATTCGTGTGGAAAGACGTCAAATGGAAGACAGATGATTACGGTTGAGATGTTCAGAGAAATGTAGCCGCAATTGATCAGATGCCGTGTTGAATGTTTCCGACCAACTACTTATCTACCGAACCTGTTTGATCCCAACGTGCCCATAGGTATGCGAAATTCCTCCTCTTAAAACGTTCGGACGAAATCAATTCGGAATGTTACGAATAGAAGCGAATATGTGTGCCCCAGGTTCTTGTTGTAAAGACGAAGAATACGCGATCTCTGGAACGGCACTTTTATTCTTCTGAGTTTTCGACTCCACACGAGAAGCCGTCGTCAGAGAAACTGAGACCGCTGCAAACGTAGGCTACGCGTAAATAGGGGTGGGGGTGGCACTTGTGATTGGTCCATGCCCACGAAGATGCAAAGATACCATTTTTTTTCTAAAAAAAATACTTTCAGTAGACATTGTAATGTAACCTGAGCAATAATTATCCGAAAACCAGATAGAAAATACTTGTATTGCACGAATAGAAACAAATAGGCGTGCCCAGGTTCTTGGTGTAAAGATAAAGAAGACGTGATCTCTGGATTCGTCCACGCTCACGCCATCTCTCCGTGTCTCAACTGTGCGTGTCCTTGGTGTTATGGCGTGCGACCTTGACACGGTGGGTTGCGTCCTTAGCGTGGCAGCCTGCGTGCTCATAGTCCGACTGCTACCATACGTTCATGGGTCACGCAAATAAAAGACCCACTGAATAATGGCACGCACCGCGAACTACTGGAGGCCTGGGTATGAGACTTCAACTCCAACAACAGGCATGTGGATATACCGCCCTGTTATTTTGCCATCCGTGCTCGCAACCAGAAACTGCGGCCCAGTTCCCATCCAAGCACGCAGGCTGCCACGTCAAGGTTACACGCCACAACTC